GGGGTGTTCTCACCTGGCAGGGGCTTAGGCCCGTCGTGACAAATTCATTCTGCTTATTTGATATTTTACCTGATGCTTCGGGGGCATCAGGTTAAAAAAATCCCCCCAAAACCCCAACCCACAAACTCTTAGTGAGTTTTAATCTTAAATTTCAGTCCTTTCTCCTTTACATGCCCTTCTCTTCCATTGATTGCACCTGTCTCTGAAAATCAAGGGTCTGAACACAATCCAGAGTTTTGTTCAGAGAAGGACTTAGGATAACAAGAGCCCGTTTGAGCGTCAAATCATCACACCCGACGCCATCGCACCTGCCGCCTCAGGGACCCTGTTTCCACAGGCCTTTCCCTCCCAAAGGCCTCTGCAGCCTTCCCTGACTGACTGACCGAGCAACAGCGTACGTAGTTTTGAAGAAATTTTAAAAGCTTAAATCTGAAATTTGCCTTCTCATTTATAAATGATACACAAACTGTCCCTAAACACAGAAATGCACCCAGGTGCTCCATTAGGCATCGATTGTGGCAGCTGGAACACTAGTTGTCGTGGTGACTTTGTCATGCTTGGTGACTTACCACTCAACTTTTCCTTGATGATTTCTCCAGTCATCTGTCACTTCATGGTGTCAGTAGACATAAACCGTCTACATCAGTATGCTTTAAAAAATCTAAAGTTTCAGTAAAACCACTGAGTTGAAATACTGCCAGTTTTAAAGCTTGTTACTTCTCATCAGACTAATGCGCTATTTCAAAAGAATATTACCGACAGTTAATTTTAAAGCAGCATTTAAAAAATGGACCTTTATGTTCACTATATGTAATTCAAACAGCATGTCTCTCCATGCTAGCTGGACATCTCCCTTTTTTGTTAGGCTGAAAGAGGGTAGATTTAGATCAGATATTAGGAGGAAATTTTTTACTGTGAGGATGGTCAGGCAGTAGCCCAGGTTGCCCAGAGAAGCTGTGGATGCCCCATCCCTGGAGGGGTTCAAGGCCAGGCTGGATGAGGCTTTGAGCAACCTGGGCTAGTGGGAGGTGTCCCTGCCCATGGCAGGGGGATTGGAACTGGATGATCTTTAAGGTCCCTTCCAACCCTAACCATTCTGTAGTTCTATGATTCTATGTTTCTGTTCTTGATTCCCTTTTTTCACACCTAGATAATATAGTTGCTCAGGTTTGAGCCTTTACTGTATCTTTTATCTTTCTTCATTCTGCCAGGCTCATATCTTGCTTTTCATCCTGTTTTCAAATGAGTTTGCTGTTTCTTTTTTCCTTTTTTTTTTTTTTTTTTTACAGTTAATTAAGTACTCAGGCTTAGCTTTTGCTTTGTTGTCTTTCTTAAAATGATTTATTTAGGTCTCTCTGCTTATTTTTAGACACTTTTCAATGCTGCTGAGTGATGTGGAAATGTGATTTTGTTTTACCAAGTAGAGCTTATTCCTATTGAAAATAATACGTAGGAAAGTACTTGAATCAACCTGTTTCTCACTGGTATCTAATAAAAGGCCATTGCTTCCATTTGGGCGAATCTTAAAAGATCATAATCTTAAGTATCCATTTCATTGCTCCTAATCATAATTCTCTCCTGGATCCCTTGTTATTTTAGACAAGTATATGAGAAGCTGTAGGTATTGTGCAGTTTTTTATTTCCTGTTTGAACTTGTTATCTCACCCACACACTAATGGTGGGGATAGATGTGATGACACAGGTACAGTGTTAAGTCTCGAACAGATATGTTCTTACCAGGCAGGGTGCAATACAGGTGCAATTAATGGTAAACAGCACGTGGGTGATCTGGCCTGGGGCCTTGAACTGTTCTTTACATGGTCCTGGGGACTAAGCAGTAACACATTGCTTCAGCCATGCTTCTCTTTGGTCCCGTTTCTTGACATCTTCCCAGAAAAAAATGCGTTTCTTGCATTTTGGTTTACTTGACAACCCGTGGGTCATACAATCCTGAGATGAAGATTGTCATAACAGTGGTGGTGAGATGTGACTGTAAGTGCAGTTTTTAGCTTGCAGACATGCTGGAGTCCTTTGATGCTTTTACATTGAATCTCTTTGCTTTTTGCTCTTTGTCAGTACCCAAAACTAGTTACAAATATAACAGAAAAAAAAAATAATCTGAAGGATGAAGAAGCCATAAGGAACAAACACAAACTGGGTTTCTTTTTTTTGGAAAAAAAGTTCAGAAACTGCAAAATGTATTCACAGAAAGTTTAGGATCCTTGAACTTTTTATTTTGTTTGTTGTTTTTTTTCTTTTTTTTTTTTTATTTTTTTTTTAAATCTTGTTTCTGGTTCTTTTACCCTGGTTGAACTCAAGTCAGTGCATGTAAGGTTTGGAAGAAAGATGTTTAAAAGTCCTAGATTAGGAGGTAATTTCATGCCTGCAGAGGTGGCTAACAGAAATGAGGGTATGGAGTTGATTTTAGGTATGTACCAAATTTATAGTATGGGCATTAAAAATAGCTTACTATTTAAAATTATCTTTGAGTGTGGTTTTAAAATTACTGTTATCTTTGTTAGAAATTAACTTTATAGGTGATATATACATGCATTTGGTATATGTAACAAAAATAAATAAATAAAATTCTGTAATATTTTCAGTAACTCCAAATGGCTGGGTCAGGTAGAGGAAGAGGACGTGCTGCGTTCACCTTCAACATTGAGGCTATTGGGTTTTCTAAAGGTGCAGCTCTACCTGATGTTGTGTGTAAGCCTCCACCACCATTTCCTGTAAGTACAGCAAGTATCTTAGAGCACACTCTCTGCATTCAGGTGAAGTGTATTCAGTGCTGTGTTTAGACAATGTGATGAGAACCCTAAGCACATGAGGTCAGTTTTGAAGTATTTAATGTAAATCATTGTTTTTGTTATTCTTACTTTCTATCCCTTTGCTAGCTGCTGTATCCCACATTTAACTAGATTGCTGGCAAGATGTTCATTTGTTAAAATCCTCATAATGATTTGTTTTTGTGGACATTACAGTAATGGAAACACTGGATATCTGAATTTGTTTGAAACGAAGTTACCCTAGTCTTTAAAGCTATGAATGGATTTGCTGATTTTAGAAGTTTACTAGTGATGTGAACATAAAAGATTTTGGATGATTGTCTTGTACTTCAGTAGCAAGCATTTGAAAATAATATGAAAATAACTGAAAGGTATTTTATGTAATTAAGGAAACTTAATTGAGATTTGGCATTTGCAATGTATTTGAAAATTAAAGGGGAAGAAAAAGCATTTTCTGACTGTTTTGCTATGCAGGGAAGCTTGGACAATTCTGAGGTGGCAGTTTTATATAAGAGAACTTCCCAGTTATGTCAGGATTTGATCAAGGTTTTTCTCAGTCTCACCTGTTATGATATAGAAGTTGCAAGTTTGACATATAATTGGTGCTATGCTGAGATTTCTTTGAATAGTTATTTCACCCAAGGTTTTAACTTAACCAGATACTATATATCCTCCTAGTCCACCTCCACAATCAAGTTGCGTGATTTCATTGATACTAAGCCATCTGTAACTCTTCCTAATATGAATGTTGCAGTCTGCTTGATAGCACAAGGAAACTGAATTCTGTGTGAACCACAGCTTCTGCAGTTACAGTCAGCAGTGGATCAGCCTTGTAGAAGAATTACTAGCCCCACTATATCTAAGGTATACCATGGAGAACTTAAAAATGCTTTCTTCCTTCTGTGAACAAAGTTTCAGATCTAAGTTAAACTTATAAGGGGAAGTCTTGTGCCATTCAAAAAAATCAAAGTTAGCCCAGTGGCATAATTAGGATCAATAAAAATTTCAAGAATTAGATTTAATGATTGGACAGTGGCCAAAAGTATATTACAGCTGTTGACTGACTTAGAGTGAATTTATTTTAAGCAGTGAATTGTTGCTATTGCATATTTCTAATAGAGTTATGAGTTCTTATGAACTTCCTGTAAATCCAATTCGAAATCCAATTAAGGAGCATCAGCTTAGTGATTTAAAATGTTTGCCAGCTAGCAAATATAGCTGGAAGCAGTAAACTCCTTTCATGATCCAGCTCTGAGACTTGTGATAGCACTTTGTGCTTCGCAACCTACCACTCAGGTATTGATTGTGCACCATCTGTCATGTGAGAGAAACAACATCCATTCTGTAATTCTGTCTCTGGCTCTAGTGTTCTGTATATTTGTAAAACTATTTTCACTTGTTTATATTTCCCAATTTCAAGATTAATTGTTCAATAAAAAGCCCCCAAAAACCCAAACCGTAACAATTAACTTAAATTCAACTGACAGAAACTGAATTGTGTCAGGGTCTGTGTGCTACCTGGTTGTATGACAGTACAACCTGTGTCTGTGACAATAGTCATGGAAAGGGTGTCCATGTTATTCAGAGTACTCATACTTAATGTAGTTAAACCCCTGTTTATAAGAGGTTAAGGCCAGTGCTACTCTGACTGAAGAGAGAAGCACTGGATTCTGAGTAACTTAGGCTGGTGTGAAAAACTGCTTTTGGCAACTAAGAGCCTAGCGTGACTATGAATGACTATTTTACAGTTTTAATACTTTTTTTTACTTGATTTCTTGATACATTTTTTGCAGAAAGATACAAATATAAAAGGTATAAATTTAGTTGTAAAATTAGTTATGCATGTCACAATGGAATAAAGTATACTTGTGGAGTAGCATAATGCATGGTTGCACTCTTCTGCAATGAGCTGTGTTTATTGTAGATTTTGTTAGTGTTCCTGTGTATCTGATGGATATTAAGACCTTATAAATAATAAACATAATTTGTACAGAGTACAGACAATAAACCAGTGCCTCTGAAAACAGGAGAAGATGAAGATTACATGTTGGCCTTAAAACAAGATCTTAGAGGAACTATGAAAAGAATGCCATATTTTTTGGCAGTAGAAGAAGATCGTGAAGGTTTGTTTGTGTGCTTTTTATTTTTATTTGTATCTTCAGTAGTTATTGTTCTGTGAAGGATGATGTAGTGAAATGCATGTGTTGAAGATGTACTTTTTATTGATAATGAGGAATAATTGAGGAATTGGCAGCTTAAGATAATAGGGAATTTTTCTGCTTTTACACTTACTGAAGTTATAGGTCACATTTACAAGTGCTATAACTGGAAAGCAACTACTGGGTGAAAAGAGAGGTATCAAACATCTGTTCCATTTGATATACAGTAAGAAACATTTGACTAACTATATGTAGTCTTTTCCATACTTTTCTAACCAATACAGGTGAAATAGGCATTCCTACATGTTAAAATACCCCAAAAATTTTGCATTGGAGCAAATAAATGTGCAGTAAATGCTAGTATTGAAATTTAGCTGCCATTTTAATTGTGTAAAGACATAATTAAAATAATCAATCTTATATTTAATAGCTGGACATTCTAAAAGGTACTATTTTTTTTTTCCCTAAGTCCATTCAGGAGAGATTTCTAAGTATTAGTGACAAGTCACCTGAAATATGAAGATTGAGATGAGAATAAGTGATTTACTGAGGTTTGCATCAGAAGCAGAGCTGGATTAGAAGCCAAAGCTTGATCTTGTTCTACTTGACCTAAAAATGTCTTTTCCCTATATGTAATTAAAAATTAACTGCTTTGTTATTGTTTGATAGCAATAAATGCTCTGCTATACTTGACATACATTATTATACTGTTAAACTCCAAGCTTCCTGGTCAGAAAACTGAGCTAGTGGGAAAGAAGGAAAAGGGAGCAGGGTAAGAAGATTTTAATGTCTGTTTACCTGTCTGTGGGGGTATTGTAAATCTAGCAGTCAAAAGGAGGTTGTTACTGTGAGCAGTGATTCTTTCTGTTTTTTATTTTTGCTTAGTTCTGTCATCCTTCTGAGTGTTTCTTCTGAATGGTATAAATGACAAGTGCTGTTACAGGAAAATAGGAAAAAACAAGATATTAGGAAATGTCACATGTATCAGATCCTAGGCCCAGTCAGTGCAACAGGCAGTCTCTAAAAAGCTTTATAAAAATGTTTAAGAGATCCAAAGTGGCCAAACACTAAATAATCATTTCCGTGCTATCTTGTGCCGATTTTGAGTAATAAGAGCTGCCTTGAACTCTAAAGTGTGAGGTTTAATTTACACACCAAAACCACCAGAATGTTTTCTGACTGAACATAGATGACGTAGGTACAATGCTGGTACATAGTCCAATCCCATCTGAATTTTTGGTAATTTTTGTTCATGGTATAGTGGTGAATTCTAAAGGTTTTTGAGACTGCTTGTAATTTTTTTTTTTTTTTTTTTGGTAGGCTTTGAGTGTAACACTATTAACAGACCTTATTGACTGACCACTTGTTCTTGTACTAAAGCACTGTTTAAAGTGGAGCAGCACTCTGCAGTACGAGCAGTGAACACACTGCTGACCAGACGTGGCTCACAAAAGGCAGAATATTTCCTCTGACTTGCAGCTGGAGCCCAGCAGTCACCGGGACACAACAGGCAGCTGTAGTGCAGCACAAGCTGATGGCCCAGGGTGGACCCTGATGGTGTGGCCAGGTAAAACCTTGATTATGAGGCAAGAACAGGACATCTGATCTTCATTTCTAGTTCCCTTTATGATGATAGAAGAATTCCAAATTACTCTTTTATCACATCTCCTCTTTCATCTTCTGAGTAAATGAATTTCAGTCTCTTTGGATTCTCACCTCACCAGAGGCTTGCCATGTTCTTGATCTTTGTCAGACTTGAAGTGTGCTACTTCCGTTTGAGGAACAAAAAAAGAAACTGCTATGCCTGAGAGCTGGCCAGGGTTATTTCCAAGGAATCAGCAGTTTTATTAAGACATTATCTCTCTTTTCCAACTTTGCCTCACATGATTGTTCTTACTGTTCACCTCAAAATCATCTTTGTTTCTGCAGCCTTCTTTCTGAGGTGGAGTGATCTCTGATGCTGAGTGTGCTCCTTAATAGAACTGCCAGCTTTGAAGAGTGTTTTTATACAAAAAACTGGCAGTTGCAGGGACAGCAGGTAGACAGCCACCATATAGCCTCAAATTATGCTTCAAATGTTCTCAGCATCTCCTCAAGGGTAAGTTGGTAAGTTGAGGTAACTTTTTTACTGAAAGTTTAGTTGTACAAAAATGCCTCATCTGAGGGGTGGGATATAATTACATCTGTAGTGATCTGCATCTTAAAAAGCTTGCTTTCATCTTATTCACAGTATGCAGTTGTCTTTGGGACTGCATTATGTTGCAGAAATGGCCTAGCTTTTAAGAAAATTGCTTTCTTTCCCCCCAAGGTAGATTACTTTAAACTGATCTTTTCTGTTATCTGGTTTACAGCCCTTTGCTCCCCAATATTTCATCAGAACATTTGGTAGGCGTAAGACAGGCGGGGGACTGTGGGCAGGAACTTCTTAAATTGTCTTTGCTACAAGAGCAAATGGATTCTTTTAAACCCTCAGCACAACATATGTGAGCCAAATGATCCTTTGAAGTGTGAGAAGGGAAACATTTTAATTAGTTAGGACGTAGCTAGCTGTCTTAAATCCTTCATTATTCCAGTAGTAAATGAAAGCCATGTCTAATACTACCTGGCAATTATGATGCATTAGTGTGCTATATAGAATAGATTTTCAGCATTCCTCTCAACACTCACTCATTTTGAGTGAGTAGCAGGTGTATTCTATAGCAAGTTTGCTATTTTCCTCACTTCCTGCTTCTTCACTCCCCACCACAGACTGAGATCTTGATACAAATTTATATATTTCCTCACTTCATAAGCTATGAATCATTCCTATTTTTCCTGCAGGTATACCTGCTATGACTGAGTGACTGTCACCTTGGTAGTGGTTTCGAATTAATTCACTAGCTGTGAGTGGTGAGAGTCAGTTAGTTGTATTTTTTCACTGATGGCATCAGCAATTAGTTCTTCACTAAAGAACCCTGAGCTGAAATAAAAACTACTAGTTTCTTCACCCCTGCTTGACGACAGTTTCGTGCAGCGTTTGCACAGGCCACCTACATTAAATGCCCCTGCGACACTGTCATTTTAAATGCAAGCTCTTTGTTGCACAGTTTTAAGTAGGTCTTCTGCTTGCTCTTGTCATAACTAAGTTTAAAACTGAGCTTCATTTCTGATGTCTTCTTTCTCCTTCCATTTCTCTGGTGACTATGTTAGAAGTATTTCACTGTAAATGTCACAGTCTGTCTTTATTACCAATTTTTGTACAATACCCACAAAAAGTATCCCTATTTGGGTAATGACTTATTACCGCAATCAGAATAAGTAATTTTGCATTAACTGGATTTTGCAGTTGGGCATGGTAATTTGGTAAGAAAAAATGGGATTGATTTAAAAATACTTAAGTTTTGATACAACTTTGGTCATTACAGATTGTACAAGAAAGGTTTTTTTGCAGTATCAATGGATGTAATTACACTGTAGAGCTACTATATTATTTACAGTGCAATTCTCCGTTCATGTGCTTGGAAAAGAGGTTAAAAGGACTAAAATGTGTTGCTGGTGTTTAGGACACATCTCTCTTATGCTGGAAAGCTTTGCCATTGCAGAAGTACTTCAAGTCGTGGGAGTTGATCATGATGAGTCTGAGACGTGGCCTTTTGAGACCTGGCAATTCTGGGTACTCTTTGTGATTAGCACAGTGATGATAAATCTCACTGACTGGTTTTGTGGCAAAGGTTTGTTTGCAAAATTGTTGACGAGTAGAAGAGTTAGTGTTCATTTGATGTTTCAGCCTTGTTTCCCTGCATTTATGTTTTCATGCTTTCCAAAGATAGAAGTATAAATTATAATAATTTTGGAGGTCTTTTTATTGGTGGGACTGTTTTTTGATTGAAAGAAGGTAGCCCAAAAATGCAAAGCAATATTCAGGGGTTTTTGCCTTTTTGGGGGGTTATAAAATCCAGGTCTTAGCAAAAGATTAGTCCTGTGAATTATCATAAGAACCTCTTAAAGTAGTGACATTATTTTTTTTTAAGTGTTTGACAACAGCACAATAAAGTGTTCAAAGAGGGATGAAAAAAAATTCATTGTGTGTTTAGTTACAGAAGAATATCAAGGACAGTGTCTGGATTGCCTTTTTAATTGATTGAATTCAGTAACTCTTTGTTTCCTTCTCTATAGTAATTGAGAGGTACAGTAAAAAGTACCATGACAGTGAGAAGGAGCATGCAGCATGGACCCCAGGTAACAGCTGAGATTATTAAAGGCTAATTCTTTATTAACCTGTGAAATGCTCTGCTCTTTTACATGTTTGATTCATTATTTGTCAAGCCATAAAAAAGTATGCGAATCCTTACCAAGTCATGTATTCCTTGTTGAAGGTTAAGCCCTTTTCATGTTTTCAGATCAAGGCAAAGTATTGATTTGTCCAGAAAAAGAAAGGAAAAAAACCCCTGACTTTATTTATTTACTCCATTGAAACGAATGATTTGTAGCAAAAAGTCAAGCTTTAGCTCTTACTGTAGTTTTTATTCTTCCTTGTGTGCAATGCAGATCCCAGTGCTGAACTGGGAGCAAACACTGATGTTACTAAAGTAACCCAACTTGATGTCTCAGTCACAAGTAGCTGGGTTTTATAACATTAAACCTCCACAACCATATCTGTATAGCTCCCTACTGCAAACTTATTTATAGAATGTAAATTGAAGGGCGTGTGGGCCACTGAAAGGGCGGCACATTTTCTCTTTGGGGCAGATGCAAGTTGTCATTAAGTTAGTGAAATGCCAGTCCTCACTGTCATTCCTCACTTTAAAGTACAGCTGTAATTTCATAAAGCTGTTGTGTGTAAAAACACTTAGGCATGCATGTAAATAGGATCAAGCAAAACGGGGGCCCCTGTGTGGCAGGGGGAGGATTACTGCTGTAAATCATCATTCATATATATTAAAGTTATTTTCTGTACAGATTGGAGAAGACTCCCAAGAGAGATGAAGCCAAAGAAAAAGACCAAAAAAGGTAGATTATATATTTTTAAGGAGCATTTACTACACACTAGTTGAGTGATAGAAGACATTATTAATAGAGCCGGTTAGGGAAAAAAATGGTAGAAATGTTAATTAGTCCTAATAATCAGGGCTTTTGGCAGATGTTTTCTAAATAATTTACTTGTCTGCCTACCTTTTGTTGTTTTTCCCTTGCTTCTGTAGGATGTTTTAACTTACTGGAATAGATTTATCTTCCCTTCCTGCTTTTCATATTGATGTACTATCCTAACTGGTACATATTCACAGAATCACAGAATGTTACAGATT